TCAGCCCAAGTTGAGAAAATCAAGGTCAGAAACGAAATAAAGTCCAAAACAAATCAAGCAAGCCATAGAAAAATACAGAAAAAAGGCCCAGTCTAATTTGATAAAAAAAAGCCCAAACAAACCAAAAAAAGAGCCCAGAAAACTCAACAAGCCAATAAAGCCCAATTTCACTAAGCCCATCGAAAAAAAAGAAAATATCTCAACGCAGAGTACACGCACGCACCCAAAAAGCGAAAAACCCACTCACCCTCTCACTCCGATCTTTGCGACGCAACCCACTCCAAAAGCAGGCGAAAACCTCCATAACCACCAGGCAGGAGACAACCTCCATAATCACCAATCAACGACAAACTCCATAACGAGAAAGCCGGCGAATCGAAGTTATATTCTGCCATAGCCAAAAGTCTTCAAAATCGACACTACAAAAAGCAACTGAGGACAAAGACAACCAGGAAAAAGGGAAGAAAATTTCTTCCATAAACATCGACAGAAAGGTACAATCTCAAAAACCCACAATGACTTTCCACTTTCGTCTTAAGATTCTGCTAACTAATGCAAGAGTACCACGTTTAATACAGGTAACCAACGAAAAGGTCCAACAATGACAGAAACAAACACTCAAGATTCTTCACAAATGGCTGACAAAGCATCACTATCAGACTCCCAGGTATTACAAAATCTCTTAACGTCAAAGTCCAATAGCAATGTTTTGAAAAGACGCATGTTTCGACTGCAAATGTATACGTTTCACAACTGTTCATACCATGTCATAGAACTTGAACTGTTAATACCATGTCACAACTGTTAATACCATGCATCTTGCTCTTCTAGGGCACTGCGAAGCAGTGCACTTGAAGACCAAAATATATAGCATCCTTTGTTAATCAAAATCTGTGACAGCTATGCATCTTTCTCTTCTAGTGCAACATGCACTAGAAATGTATATGAAAAAAAATCATAGTGCACTAAAAAAGAGAAGCATGAGGTTCAAATGCATAGAAGTAAATGGTTAATACCATGTCATAGAAGTATTAATACTTATGTTTCATCTTTCTTTTGTTTAGTTAAA